TTTTGGGGGGCATTTTTTTTCAAGTTTTTGCAAATTTTTTTTGTGATTAACTTAAAATTTGTGGTTTTTAAAATTTATTTCAATGTATCTTTGTTTATATTTATCCATATTTGTATTTATCCATATTTCTATTGATTTTTTTAAATTTCTATTTTTCATTTTTATTATTTTTGGTTTTTATTTCTATTTATTTGTGTTTGCACTTACTTGTGTTTATTCATATTTATACTCTTATTTATTTATTTATTTTTGTTTATTTGTGTTTATATTTATTCATGGTTCATATTTTTTATTTTTATTCCTATTTTTAATTCGTATATATTTACATTTTTTATATATTTATTTGTATCTATAATTAGCTATATATTTTTTTAAATTTCTATTTATTTGTACTTATTTATATTTATTTATAGTTATGTTTCTATTTAAAAATTGGGATTTGGGGATATTTATCCCACTTTAGGATTAATTTTATTTAGGATTGGGAAATGGGATGGGAATGGGATCAGAGCAGCTCCCGGGAGCATCTCCCTGCCTCAGTATCCCTGGGATTTGGGGAGCCTAGGAGAGCTTGAAAATCCGGGAAAGCCAAATCCTATGGAATTTTTGGGATTTTTTTGGGGATTTCAGTGCGTGCAGGAGATGGGGAACGGCAAAGCCAACCGACTGTATGAAGCTTACCTGCCCGAGAACTTCCGGAGACCACAGACCGACCAGAATCCTTTGTTCCGGGAAAAAAAACCCATCACGGAGCTCCGCGGGTCAGCCTTCCCAAGGAGGAGGGAAAAAACCCCATCACGGAGCTCCGCGGGTCAGCCTTCCCGAGGAGGAGGGAAAAATCCCATCGCGGAGCTCCGCGGGTCAGCCTTCCCGAGGAGGAGGGAAAAAATCCCATCGCGGAGCTCCGCGGGTCAGCCTTCCCGAGGAGGAGGGAAAAAATCCCATCGTGGAGCTCCGCGGGTCAACCTTCCCAAGCAGGAGGAAAAAAATCCTGTCGTGGAGCTCCACGGGTCAGCCTTCCTGAGGAGGCGGGAAAAAATCGCAGAGCTCCGCGGGTCAACCTTCCCAAGGAGGAGGGAAAAAATCCCGTCACGGAGCTCTGCGGGTCAGCCCCCCTGAGGAGGAGGGAAAAAATCCTGTCACGGAGCTCCGTGGTTCAACCTCCGCTAAGGAGGAAAAGGGAAAAAGTCCCATCGCGGAGCTCCACAGGTCAACCTCCCTGAGGAGGAGGGAAAAAATCCTGTCGCGGAGCTCCATGGTTCAACCTCCCTGAGGAGGAGGAGTGAAAAAATCCCGTCGTGGAGCTCTGCGGTTCAACGACCTCCTCCGAGGAATTTTCTGAGTCTGGAGAGGATGGGAATATGGGATTTTTTAGGAGGGGATGGGAATGTGGGATTTTTTGGGATGGGAATGTTGGTTTTTTTGGGATGGGAATGTTGGGGTTTTGGGATGGGAATGTTGGGGTTTTGGGATGGGAATGTGGGATTTTTCCCCCATCCTGATTTAATTCCCATTTTCTAGCACTGGATTAACCCGGGATAACCAAGGGCTGAAAACCAAGCTTGGATCCAGCAGTAAATTATTTTAATTACATTATTTTAATTACATAATTTTTAATAATAATAAAAATTTAAATGCATTTTAATCATAAATTAGTTATAATTAAATTAATAATTTAATTATAATAATATAATTTTTTTATAATTATGATACTTTTTTAGTGATTTTAATTTATTTTTTGATTTAATATTAATTTATTCTTATTTTGCTTATCTTATTATAATGATTCTTATTAATATGTATTTATTCCAAAATTATTATTTTTAAATAACTTTTTTCCATTGTTTTATGAAATTATCTTTTTTAACTAATAATCAAGAATTAGAATTAATATTAATTAAAATTACCATGAAATCAAATAATATCTCTTTATTTATCAAATAATTCTAAATTTCATTTAATTTAATTATTAATTTTTATTATTATTTTAATCAAATTTTATTAATCAAATTTTACCAAACTATTTTATTAAATTAATAATTTGATTAAATTAACAATTAATAATATTGAAATAGTATTATTTTTAAATAATTTGATGAAATCACATTTAATTCCATTATTTTATGGAATTTTCTGCTGGAAATTCTCTTTAAACCACGATTTCATCCACTCTAAGCCCATTTCCTGTCCCTCCCTATCCCRAAATTTTCTTTTTTCCCTGGAATTTTTTTGTCCTTAACGCGCTGCTCCAGGGCCGTGGAGAGTTTTATCCGCGATAAATACGAGAAGAAGAAATTCATGGACAGGAGCATCGACATCAGCGCGTTCAGGGTGAGCCAGAGGGAGAAAATCCCATCATGGAGCTCCACGGTTCAGCCTGCCTTGAGGAGGAGGGAGAAAATCCCAGCGCAGAGCTCCGTGGTTCGGCCTGCCCGAGGAGAAGGGAAAAAATCCCAGCGCGGAGCTCCGCGGTTCAGCTTGCCCAAGGAGGAGGGAGAAAATCCCGTCCTGGAGCTCCGCGGGTCAACCTTCCCTGAGGAGGAGGGAAAAAGTCCCAATGTGGAGCTCCACAGTTCAGCCTGCCCCAAGGAGGAAGGAAAAAATCCCAGCGTGGAGCTCCGCAGTTCAATCTCCCCTTAGGAGAAGAAGGGAAAAATCCCAGCGTGGAGCTCCACGGTTCAGCCTACCCTGAGGAGGAGGGAAAAAATCCCGTCATGGAGCTCCGCGGGTCGACCTCCCCCGAAAAGAGGGAAAAAATTCCAGCACGGAGCTCTGCTGTTCAACCTCCCCTAAATTCAGAAATTCAACATTCCCAAAAAATCCCCCCGGGTTTTCCCAAAAAATCTCCCCGGGTTTTCCCAAAAAAATCCCTTCTCCGGGGGGAGAAAATTCTTGCTGGATTCAGGATTTGGGGGAATTTTTGGGGAATTTTTGGAACAGCACCAGGGTAAATTTTTTTTTTTTGGGATAATCCAGAATTTTTTCTTCATGTCCGTGATTTTTTTTCCGCCTGACAGAAAGAAAACTACGACAAATGGAAAAGGAACAACGAGTCGGAACGAAAACCGGAACCCATCATCTTCGAGAAGGTGAAAATGGTACGGAACGGGGAAAAAATCCCTACTTTTTCCTGCTTTTCTCAAATTTTCCTGTTTTTCTCTACTTTTCCCTGTTTTTTTCCTGTTTTTTCCCTGTTTTTCCCCTCATTTTTCCCACTTTTCCCTATTTCAGAATCCACTTAGATTTGAAAATCCCTCGGGACAACACCACCAAAAAAAATCGGAATATTCACCCTAAAATTCTCATTTTGGAAATGTGGAAAAAACAAATTTCTCCATTATTTCTGCCCGAAATCTACCAGAAAAATGGGATTTTTTCAGGATTAACCCCATTCAAACCCCTGCCATCCCAAAAATCCCAAAAAACTGAGCGGGATTTGTGCTTTTTCTGTCCTCCCCAGCCCCAAAAGAAAGACGAAACGCAGCAATCCCGGAAAAATTCACCCAAATCTGAGCCGGTCATGGATTTGCTGGGACTGGGTAAGATCCTTTTATTTTTTTTTCTTTAGGAATTTTGTGGATTCGGGGATTTTTTGGTGCTGATTTTCCTTGTTGGGATGAAAAATCCCAAGAATATTCTGGAAATCCCGGAAAATCCCGGGAATATTCTGAAAATCCTGGGAATATTCCAGAAATCCTGGAAAATCCCAAGAATATCCCAGAATTCCTGGGAATTTCCTGTAAATCCTGGGAAATCCCAGTAATATCCCATAAACCTTGTAAAATCCCAAGAATATCCCATAAATCCCAAGAATATCCCATAAATTCCAAAAAATCCCAAGAACATTCTCCCAAAACC